ATATCATAGAGAAGTGAAACCTTGGCATTTGCAAGCGACCTGTTGGAGTCCTTTGCAAATTTTCCAATCCACAGTGTCCCTTGGGAATACACAGGACCCAGCCCAACCTTTGTTCTCATACTTGCAGCCTTGCTGGGCTGTGGGAGGCTGTGACCTCGGGCATATACGGCCCTTCCTACCTTAAACTGAATGCTGCATAAAGGTAAAAGAAAATCATGATAATGGAGATGTGTCCTGTCACCCAAAGTTACTGATGTAAGGCCCTGGCTGGGTGAGGACTTGGGGTGGGGGGTCAGTAGTCAGCTGCTCTACCTGAAAGTGTGATGCGGGCAAGAGACCCAGACAGACATGGTCTCCTTTGGATGAAGACAGGAACAGCTGTGGCGGCCCTTAGAATTGCCCCTAGAGACTTGGAAAGTGGGAGGCTGATGAGCCTGCTGGGGTGACGGTCCCAGCCCTGACACCCAGGCTGGGAACACTTGCATCAGTTCTCAGGCATGTCTTCTCAACGGGAAGCCTGGGCTAACCCTAACCCTCACAATGTAGTTACTCCCCAGAGTTTCTCAGCTCCAAGGCCTCTGCCCTGGAGTCACCCCCCTCCACCCAAGCTTCTCTCCTCTCACATCCCTAAACAATTTAACTTGGAGAGGAAAAGAAAAACCCAACAGCCTGGCCTCTGCTCTGCTCCCAGTCCCCAGGACTCAATGCACCCACTGAGGTATCACTTTCCACCAGCCTGGAGTCAAGGGGGCCCCAGAGGGGTCAGGAGCCTGGGACGGGAGGGCTACCCAAACCTTCCAGAGCAGACCTAGATTTTTCAAAGCCAGCTCCACATGTGACACGAGTTAATTTCTTAAGAGTTTGAAAATATTCTTTACACACTACAGAAGTCAACTTATGTGCTGTACTGTGCTAAGTCACTCAGTTGTGTCCAACTCTTTGTGACCCCATGGACTGTAGCCCGCCAGGCCCCTCTGTCCATGGGATTCTCCAGCCAAGAATACTGGAGTGGGTTGCCATGCCCTCCTTCAGGGGAAGCTAATTTATATGGATAGCTAAATCCTTCCCACCCCTGCTTTCATCAGTCCTATGAGAGGTGGCTGCAGCACTGGCCATCATGGATGGGGTAATAACAGCTGAAGGGGACTTACATCAGGGCTGGGATGCCCTCTGAGCACTGGCCATTTCAGCAGGAAGCAGGAGGAAGCCCTGCACCAGACAACAGTGCTGAGAGGTAACTCTAGCCACAAAATCTGCAAACATCAACAGATGGGCTCTGACACCTGTGTTTAAGTATCAGGCAAACCCATGAACCTAGTAGGGCACAGTGAGGACCAGAAGGCTGAAGGCTCCTGAGCAGCTCAATAGTGGTCACCAAGGTCACACACAGAAGCACACAGAAAGGGACTTCCCTGGTGGTCCAGTGTTAAAGAACCCGCCTTGCAATGCAGGGGACACAGGTTCGATCCCTGGTCAGGGAACTAAGATTCCACATGCAGTGGAGCAACTAAAGCCTGTGAGCCACATCCAGAGAGTCCATGCACCGCAATGAGAGATCCCGCATGCCACAATGAAGATCCCAAGTGCCGCAACAAAGACGTGATGCAGCCAAATAAATAAATAAGTAAATATATTCTTAAAGCCCATGAAAAGCCCTTCTCTCCTGGAAGGTCCTTCCCTCAGACCCTGCTCACACAAGGCTGAGACACTGTCTTAGCAATCCCTAGCACCACAGATTGGCACCCTGAGACAGGGAGACAGCTTGAGAGTTAAGGAGGAGATAGAGAAGCTATGAACAGACAGAACTTCACAAACAGAGCAGCTCAAGCAGACCACAGGAGTACTAGTATGACAAGGGATGTTATAGGCAGTGATGGCTCACAAGAAGAGGGCACGTGATTGCTTGCTAACCATGGTTGGAGAAATGACCATGACCTGCTTGGAGAAACAGCGACAACTCACTCAAGAACATCCTAGATCCCAACTCCAAGGGTTCTACAAACAGACAGTAACAGACAACTTCTCCAGCAATGACAGAAATGCCAATTAAAATGACCAAAACAACAAACAAGCCCCAAACATCATTTAGTAACTATAAAGGACTTGGGGATTCCCTAGCTGTCCAGTGGTTAACGGACTCCACACTTCCACCACAGGGGGCATGGGTTGGATCCCTGGTCTGGGAACCAAGATCCAATATGAAGTACAGCATGGCTCCCTCACCCCAAAAAATATATATACACACAATATATATATATGTACACACAAATATATATATATATTCAATATATATAGAGAGAAAGACAATAAATAATGGACCCTGCTTTAAAACAAATGCCCCAGGGTTGGCAAGGCTGCCTCGAGATGGGGTATTCCCATGTTGCAGGTGGTACTGGTTAACCAAGACTGTCCTTGGTGAGGACACCAAGAGCCTAAAAATGTCAGCTTGGTCACTCTATTCCTGAGAATTTATCTAAAAAAAATTAATTCAGAAGAAAATGGGAAAATATGGGAAGCAAGTCGCTTTATGGCAATAAAATCTATAATGGTTAGAAACTGAAAAATCAAATGTCCTACAACAAGGAGCTATATGTATATAATTCAGTGAAACATGATATAGTCAGTGAAAAGGAAAAAAGCTTTTCATGACATTATGTGAACTTAGTGGGGGAGGGAGAGTAGAGCAGGAAACTGTACAAGGACAAAGATTGCACACAAATAAAGACTGAGAGGAACCACAGGGAAACATAAATGGCTGTGTTTGGGTGGTTGGCTTCTGAATATAATTTCTTTTTTAGTTGCTATAAGGTTTTTTGGGCAATAGACTTAAAGAAATGGCCTGGCTTTCCCAGCAAAGGTGGGCTTGTCACTCTCTGCTGGGAACCAGTATGCCATCTGCTGACCCTTAGCCTTGGGACACGTCACACCTCGGGCCATCCACATCGCTGGCGGCACCTGTAGGAACCCCCAAGGCTTGTCTGAGCCAGGCAGGTGTGTACAATTGAAGGAGGAAACAGACAGAGCTGGACTCCATCTTAGGCCAGGCTGCGAACATTAGGCTACACACGTGGCCACTCTTCCAATGGACTCTGAACTTTGTGCCCGGTGTCTATAGAAGTGGCATACCAATGGGAATCCAGACCCCTGGATAAAAGAGCCTCAGGACTTGGACTTGGACTCTCCGTTGCCTAAAAGAATATGCTAGTTATCTCTGTAACAGAACGAAGTCGTAAATACCATTATGTTTATCAGGATATGACCACAGTCCTATTGATAAATGTCCACTGTTTATCTAGTCTTGTGACACATGAATCATGGGTTAACTTTGACTGTATCTCTCTTTTACCTTGTCAAGACTAGTTTCAAGGAAGTTGGGGAGGTGGGTTTGAGCAAGTACACTTAGGGTATATAAGGTTTTCACAAAAACTGGTCTGGGTCCTTGACTAAGAGGAGACTCTGCCTTGGGCCTGCCGGTGTAATAAACTGCACTCCACTATCTGCACTGTCCTTCTGAGTGAGTTTGTTTCCCGGAACACGTGGCTACAACACAATGACTAGTCCAACTGGCTGAGAGGTCCCTGGGAGAAACATGGAGGACTTCGGAAGTTAGAGGAGGGCGAAGCATGGGTGATTCTATGCACTGGAATGTTGAGTTGGATAATTTAAGAATCCAGTGCAAGAGTATGCAAATGCCCATCTGCTACATAAATCTATAGCCTGGCAACACCAGAGTAGTTCTCAAATTAGAATGGTCTCCAAAGTCAGGTGGCCCACCCAACCTGCAGGTGGGTTAAGGATGGCTGCCAGCTTTACAGATGAGAGCTGAAGCTCAGAGGGGTGAGGTGACTTGCCCCAGGTCACAAAGTCAGGGGCTGCTGAGACAAATGCCACTACTCCTCTGCTCACTGGCAGATGCCTCACGCCTATGAGGCTCAGAACACTCCCAACACGGGGTCTTGCTGCTTGACTGGACACAGCCATCGCCACTTGTGCCACAGCCCAGCTCAAACTCTATGGTCCACCAGAGCCCCACATCCCCAGTCCATGGAATTGTCTCCAGGAGGGACATTAGGTGCCTGACCAAACCCTGGAGTTTTGGTATGTCACCCATCCAAATTCTTCCAGACTTGGAATGAAGGTTTCCCCAGCAGGCCCAGCCCAAAGCCATCCCACCTCACACACACAAGCAGTGTGGCCCCAGCCCTGGTGCCGCTACTTCCTGGCTGTAGGATCTAATAAATGACCTGGACTTCAGTGTTCTTGTCTGTAGCATGGAGATAATAAGAGTCTCTGTGTGATCGGATTGTTATGAGGATTAAATGAGATAAGAGACGTTCTCGGCAAAGTGAATACAAAGTCCTCTCGGGGTAAGTAGAACACTTCCTCAACACAGCTTCTTTGAAATTGAACAAGATAACTAGCACAAAGGACCTCGGCTTACAGCAGAGCTCTCTAAATAATTGTTGCTACAATAACCAGTATTCTTGCCTGGAGAATCCCATGGACAGAGGAGCCTGGCGGGCTACAGTTCATGGGGTTTCAAAGAGTCTGACACAACTGAGTGACTAAGCACGCATGCACAATAATAACAAAGGCATCAGACAAAGTACAAAGGCAGGGGTTTCCGGGAAAGGGCTAGGGAAGGGCTTCACAGAGCTGGGAGGGTGCTTGTTCTTCTCTTCTCTGGAAAACAGACTCTCTTTAATGGCCCTCCTGCTCCCCTCCCACCCCCGTCCACCTCTAACGTGCTCACCAGCCAGGAAAGGACCCCAGCACTGGCCACTTCTTCCCTTTCATCCCCAGGATCCAGTGAAAGCCAGACCTGCCAGTCTCTGCTGCCTGGGTTCCGGAGGAGGCGCGGGTAACTGAGGGTAACCGCGTCCTACTGACTTCATCTCCTCCGGTGGAGCCTCTGGCCGGCTGGTTGCTGCTCCCTCTGGGGCCTGTGGCTGGAGGCCTCCCTCCCCACGCCTGCTGCCCACAGGGTCCCAGGCTCCCACTCACAGTTCGAGGATGAGCACCATGTCGGTGCGGTTCTCGAAGACGTCGTGCAGCTTGATGACGTTGGGGTGCAGCACCCGCCGCAGGATGCTCACCTCCCGCTGGATCTCCTCCAGGCACACGCCCCGCCGGCTGGCCCGGCTCTGCCGCTTCTTGATGAACTTGGCCGCGTAACTCCAGCCCCGTGCTCTTCTCCCGGCACTTCTTCACGATGGCGAACTGGCCGCTGCGGGGACACAGACACACACAATGAGGACATCACTGCAGTCCTGGGAGAACTGACCTGGCCGCCACCCCCCGGCCACAGCAACTCCTTCTTCCAGGGCAGGACAAGTCACGTCATCAGCCAGGATCCCCACCTGGCCATCATCCGGAGACGGAGACAGAGCAAGTTCTGGGCTCCCCTTCTGTTCCTATGAATCCTTGACCTTGTACTAGGAAGGAATGGTAGTGTTGTCATTCCCAGTGTACAGATGGGAACACTGAGGCCCTGAAAGGCTACTGGTTTGATCCAGATGACACAGCTTCAGCTAGAACCTCTGTCTTGTATTCACCAGATGAAACCACAAGGTCCAGAGGCTTATACTACTTAATGGAAAGATTTTAAAGGAAAAGCAGGGCTTCCCTGGTGGTCCAGTGGTTAAGACTCTGAACTTCCACTACAGGGGGTACAGATTTGATCCCTAGTCAAGGAACTAAGATCCTACAAGCCGCAAGGTATGGAATGAATGAATGAATGAACAGTAAAAATGGTCAGCACGGTCAAATTACTAATAGTAACAATCATCTGTTTGGGCCTCCCTTATCTGGAAGTAAGTACAAACTCATCTATTTAGAATTGTAAGGAGACAAACCACCTCTCTAGTCTCATGTTCACACCTTGGTTTCCAACCCTTTCCAACAAATAAAATCTCAATTACCTGACACAAGCCAGGTAGTGGCTTGGACAATAAGAAGACAGAGCAAACACCAGGCTAAAGCGCTTAAAGACAAGGCCAGAGGCTATGCCAGCGGGGCTGGGGGGAACCCGGTGGAAGTGGGGATGGGGAAGGTAGGGCAGCCTAACATTGTTAGGAACCTCGGTGGGTGTTTCTCATGATTAGAAGACAGATAGTCCATGGAATTTTCCAGGCCAGAATACTGGAGTGGGTAGCTGGTCTCTTCTCCAGGGGATCTTATCAACCCAGGGATCAAACCCAGGTTTCCTGCACTGCAGGCGGATTCTTTACCAGCTGAGCCACCAGGCAGGCCCAAGAATACTGGAGTGGGTAGGCCTATTCCTTCACCAGTGGATCTTCCCAACCCAGGAATCGAACTAGGGTCTCCTGCATTGCAGGTGGATTCTTTACCAGCTGAATTACCTGGGAAGCCCAGATAGCACCAGAGAATTGTAAAATAATAGGAAACTGAGGCACAGGAGACATCAAGTGACTCACCCAAGGTCATCACAGAGTTAATGGCAAAGCCAGGCCAAAGAGCTGAGGACCCTGCCCAGTGTTCACAAACTGCTAAGACAGTTGAAGGAGTCAAGACTATGTTTAGTGCCCTCCAGGGCTGAGCCTGAATCCTTCACTCCAGGGACCTAGACAGCATCCATGAAATGGTGCAAACTTGGAAAAACTCAGCAGTGGCCACAGGACTGGAGAAGGTCTGTTTTCATTCTGATCTCAAAGAAAGGAAACACCAAAGAATGTTCAAACTACTGTACAGTTGTGCTCATTTCACATGCTAGCAAGGTAATGCTCAAAATCCTTCAAGCTAGGCTTTAGCAGTACGTGAACCAAGAACTTGCAGATGTACAAGCTGGATTTAGAAAAGGCAGAGGAACCAGAGATTAAATTGTCAGTATCTGCTGGATCATAGAAAAACCAAGAGAATTCCAGAAAAACATCTACTTCTGCTTCATTGACTACACCTAAGCCTTTGACTACGTGGATCACAACAAACTGGAAAATTCTTAAAGAGATGGGAATACTAGACCACCTGTATGCAGAAACCTGCCAAAGTGGCAGGTAGCCCCAGGCCAGCCTCCCTGAGTGCTCTAAAGGCAGCCCCCTCCACACACACACACACACACACACACACACACACACACAGAGGGAAGGGCAGCGGCCTTCACCATCACTGGGGGTGATGTTAAGGCAATCACTGGGGGCCACTCTCAGTCTTTGGAGACTACCCAATGGCCACCCTCCTGGGGATCCTCCCACTCCCCTTCCACCAGTGTCCCAGGTTTTCCTGACACCCACGCTACCTACTGCCTGAGACAGAAACCATAACCACCGCGTTGGATTTACTCTCTCGGGGGCGCTGGGGTAGAAGTTACACACAAGGAAGTGCTCTGGGTACAGTAAGTCCCCTCGTAAGAACGAGTTCCATTTCAAAAGCGTGTTCGTAAACCCATGTTGTCTCTAAGTCCAACAAAGGTAGCCTAGGCATCTGACTGACACAATCAGCTATATAGCACTGTACTGTAATAGGTTTATAATACTTTTCACACAAATAATACATAAAAAGCATAGCAAATAAAGAAAACATTTTCAGTCGTACAGTGTAGCACCTAGAAAAGTACAGCAGTGCAGTCCAACAGCTGGTATACAGGGGCGGGCATCGAGTGAACAAGCAAGAAGAGTTCCTGACTGGAGGAGAGAGAGGAGGTGGGAGACGGTAGAGCTGAAGGATCGTCGGCAATAGGAGGTGGAGGGCAAACTGCAGTTTCACTCACACCTGACACTGATGGGACGCACGTTTGCATCTTTGAAAGTCTGCAACTGGAAGGTTCGTATGTAGCGGACTTACTCTGTTTGCCTCAGCCTCAGAAACTAGTAGCACATCTGAATCAGTCCATTACTAGAATACTCCTCAGTGAGACAGCCTTCAAAATAAACCCAAGTGATCAAAAAAACAGATGCTCAAGTAGAGCAAGTGAGGAATAAGAGATGCCAACACTTAAATAGCATTCTGTGGCAACCATCGTAGAGATGTCACCACACACCTGTTCACACATCCCTCCGTCCCCTCATCCCCCAGAGCTTCCTGAGCATGTACTCTGTGCCAGGCTCTGCCTGCACAGCAAGGGGCAGGGACCAAAGACTCAGACACCAGGTACAGATGGAACTCTGGGGAGGGAGAGGGCCCCGGTGGCTGGGCTGGGAAGGCTTTGTGGAGCCATGTATATATCACACTGTCTGCTAACTCTAAAATTTCAGCTATTTATGCCCCATATACCAATTCTGCGCTGTCTACACATGAGGGCCTGATGCAGGTGGGGTTAAATCAGGCCTCCCAAAGTCAGAGGGAACACGTGCAGCAAGATCTCTGGTCCCTGAGAGCAACTCTGGGCCTTGGGACATCAGGTCCCTTAGCGGGTGCCAGCAAACACTGAACAAAGCCTCGAGTCCCAGGCAGCTGTGCATCTCCAAGTCAGGACGGCCACACTCCTCTCCTCCCTGACACCTCAAGGAGTCTGGCATCAGCAGCCCTGAGGGATGGGAAAGACAAAGTGTAAGCATTTTAAACTATTTGTTTAAGCTTGTGGAGCACAGAGGTGGAGGCAGAGGATTTTTATAAAGCAGAGCTAAATATTTCAGATCACCTTGACAAAAAAGCTTTCCCTTCTCCTTAGGGGGAAAGGGAGGCATTTTTCTGTATCACATGCCTGAAAAATGAGTGTTTGCTTTTGAGTGTTCTCTCTGTGAGAGCAGCTGAGGCAACGAGAGGTGACTGGGGGTCAGGCCTAACAGGAGCAGGCAACCTCCTCCCGCCAAAAGGAGGTATTTTGAGAGCAGATGACTAACACAGAGCCAAATACCAGCCAATGCCACTCACCTTGCCTCTCTTTGCAAGACAAGGGTCCTCCACTCGGCCTGCCCTGGGGAGCCTCAAAGGGAGCCGTGGCCACTCGCTGGTCTCCTCTCTCCTTGGGCAGGTGCTGGAATGTGTGGAGTATGTGTTCCACTAGGCCAGCCCTGGGCGGGAGGAGCAGGCTTCCAGGTCAGACAGGCCTGGTCTCAGGAGACATACACTGTCACCTGGGGCCAGTGGCCACCTTCTCTGTGCATCAGTTTCCTCATCTGTAAAATGGGAACTGTGATTCTCTGCCAAGGAACTGTGAGGACTGGAAATATGTCACGTCAGGGGGGACTTCCCTGATGGTCCAGTGGCTTAGACTCCACGCTCCCAATGCAGGAGGCTCAGGTTCGATCCTTGGTCAGGGAACTAGATTCCACAGGCACAACTAAAAGACCCCACATGCAGCCACTAAGACCCAGCACAGTCAAGTAAATAAATAAATATTTTTTAAAATTAAAAAAAGAAAAACATCATGTTGGCCTGCAGGCAAATCTAATAAACGGTGACTAGTATTACTGCTATTAGTTTGTTGCTCATGTGAAGGCAGAAGTGAGTCGCTGATTTACATGGACTTCAATGTGTGGCCAGGGCATCAGTGCAATTTTAACACATGTCCCCACCCCACCCTACACTCTGATGATCCCAGTGCACAGTCAATTTGGGGTTTATCTTCATTTGAAACAATTCACCAACTCTATTCATCCTTAGAGCAGTGGTTCTCAACCCTGGTGGCACACCAGAATCACTGGGGAAATCTTAAAGTTACTGCTGCCTGGATCCCACCTCCAGAGCTTCTGATTTCCTTGGACTGGGAATCAAGATATTTTTTTAAAACTTTCTGGGACTTTCCTGGTGGCGCAGTGGATAAGAATCGACCTTCCAAATCAGGGGACACAGGTTCGATTCCTGGTCCAGGAAGATTCCACATGCAGCAGAACAACTAAGCCCATGCGTCACAATTACTTAGCCTACACTCTAGAGCCTTCGAGTTGTAACTACTGAAACCCACGCACCTAGAGTCTGTGCTCCGCAACAGGAGACACCACCACAATAAAAAGCCAAAACACTGCAATGAAGAGCAGCCCTCTACTTGCCACAACTAGAGAAAGCCTGCACAAAGCAACAAAGACCCAGTGCAGCCGAACATAAATAAATCAACTTTCTGGGTGACCCCGATGTGTAGCCAGGCCTGAGAAACACCAGCTTACAACAGTCCTCTGATTATCTCCATTTTTCCATATGAAAAAAAGTACACCACTGTAACTCATATTATTCCTTGTCCTTCTCAGTATTGATATATTACCCTCTCCCTTAGATCTTTGATCTGACCATGAGAAGGAGGGAGAGAGGAGAGACAAGGGAGATGGGGAGTGT